ATGATGATGATGATGATGATGATGATGATTATGATGATGATGATGATGATGATGATGATGATGATGATGATGATGATGATGATGATGATGATGATGATGATGATGATGATGATGATGATGATGATGATGATGATGATGATGATGATGATGATGATGATGATGATGATATTCCCCTCTCCTCTTCTGTAACCCTCCTTCGAGCATGTTCGGTGTTTTTTAATTAACTAGTTTAGCATTCTGACCCTGAGCTGGGAATTCGATTTGCTCGAACGGTCAAAAAGTAATTCTTTGTCTAGGGCGTCCATTGCTGAGGTTTGTACGTTTCTCCTTATTACCTCTATTCTATCAATGGTACCGTATATACACCGAAATCCGTTTTTCGCTTATACGTGTCACTCGGCTAGCACAGAATTCTATAATAATTATTAGTAGTAGGAGCAGCAGTAATAGTAGTAGTAGTAGTAGTAGTAGTAGTAGGAGGAGGAGGAGGAGGAGGAGGAGGAGGAGGAGGAGGAAAATAGCAGCAGCAGCAGCAATTTTTCCCGAACATGGAAGATTGTGTCGCGTAAATGACAGCGATCATGACACCTCCTAATCGTAAGTCAGGGAGGTAGAATTGGCACGACACAACAGCATTCGTCCAAAGGAAAGCCCTGAGCAGTTGTTTTTTGTCAGTCAGTTAATCGGACGCGTGGCTGACAGCTTGTCACGTTCCATTCATGTGGCTGTTTTTCATCTGCTCCAGGACCACTGGTTCGGCCAATCAGTGGAAGCGCGGATGCTGACTGGGGGTTGGACACCGTACGCAACGAGGTGCGCAGTCCGAACCGTCAAATACAGGCGTGACCTTGGCAGCGCGCCAGAGAGTTAGTAACGACTGAATTTGCCACCGTCGTATTTCCCTGCCTGCAGTAGTCTTACAACAATCTGTTTATCAAGGCGACCAACCCACTGTTACAGTCCCTCGTAAGCCGTTGACTGCAGATTGCATTTAGACACCGCTTCGTGCGAACGAAGGATGCAGCTCCACCTTCTGTAAACATTTGCAATTACTTCGGGGGAAACTCGGCTAGAAGGGATTGGACAGCCTGCGTGAGAAAGTGCTGGTGAAGTAAATACTATATCAAAAGAAGAGAGGTTTATAATACATCGATCAGGGTGCTACTGCTCTTTTCCTTGACTTTTTAGGAAGTTGGAGAACAAGAGCGCTCGCGCCTGACTGTGATCTTCCGATTTCAGTTCAAACAAGTGACCCCTGACCCTGCATCACCCCCCACCTCTTGGCAGACCTTTCATCGTTATCGGCCTATAATAGTTCAACTGTCAAAGAGGACGAAGTTCAGCGCTGCTCCAATTGTGTTGCGCCTGCCTCACTTCCCCCACCACAACTACTGGTCTCCAGTGGTTGGACAGTGTCAGGACAACGGGAGGCAGTAGCTGGCACGACCAAACAGCCGTCTACGCGCTCGCCACGCACGACCTGCCTCCTACGCCGCATGCAGCAAGCTGGACTCGGGGGCTGGCTGAGACTTAAGGCCGCATTAGTCAGGGGTAAGATGACCGAGTTAGAGTCAATGCAGCCTGAAGTTGGATAGGAACGACCCGACGAACATCCTATCTCACAGATGTAAGCAGTCAGCACAAACAAGACACTACCACTGCCGTCGCGACACTTAACAACCAATAGTGACACAAAAAACAAGAATCAGGTGAGAGCAAAACCTGTCAGGTGCAGAAACTTCATGCTTTCCCATAACAGTTCAGTTTTCCAAACCGATCCCCCTACTGTTTGAGGGTTAATTGAGCACAAGATCCTTTGCTGCCCTTATCTATACCTACAGCCTGAGCTGTTGGAGACACGTTCTTGCAGACAGCCGTCATTGCGCTGTCCGGGGTACTTGTTCAGGACCCTGCTGCCTCAAGGTTACTCACCTCTGCAGACAGCGGTTCCAGACGCGCTGATTTGCAGCCGACTTCAGCTTGGACAGGCGTGTGTACACACTGTCACAGCTGTTCATGCAGCACTTGAACACACCAATCCTCGACATATGCCATCTGACAGTTCGACTGTCACGTCCAACGATGTCTACCGTTCGGATCCACAGCAAGGTAAAAGCAGGGACGGTGACTTGCGCGTGAATTAGCTTATTGTGAGAGTAGACTTGCGCAGCATCTACCGCACTCCTTCCTCCTCCTCCATCAGGACCCGGTGTCAATGCAAAGTCAAGAAGACGGGAGAGGCAGGAGAGGGCACAGGTGGTTGGCACGGCCGGGCCTGCGCCTAGGCGTACCGCCCCACCCCATATGTCACCTAGGCGACTATACTTACTACCCCTTGACAAATGCAATACATCCCAATTGGACACCACTTGAACCTGCCGCCCACAAGCCTCGAGGGGCAGCTGCCACCACTTTTCTCACTCTGTAGACGCGCACCCTGAACTCGCCAGCGGTCATTGCCGTCTGAGAGGACAACTCAGGGCTCTGTATACAATAAATTCCCTCGGTCAATAGACTTCAGTCTGTCACTTTTTAATTTCCATTGAAACTAACGGTCAGGTGTGGATATTTAGCCCCAGCTGAAGTAAAGAAAACCCAACCACCTGTAATACGACGCCGGTGGTAATAGTGGTTTTTACAGGTGGGGCCGGGGAACGCACAGGCGACGAAGTCAAGTGGTTCTCTGCGAAAGAAAAGCTATCGGGAATGCGGGGCTGTACTTTGAGTAGTTGAGTAATAATTGCCCTAACCCCTAACCCTGGCCCCTAACCCAAACCCCTAACCCTAACCCCTACCACCAACCCCAAACAGCATTGTGTCCATTAGGTGGGGCAACATAACCACATCCTACCAAATTAACTGCGAACTTGGAGTAGATCAGTCTATGCCAGGGTATACAGGCGCAGACCGAAATTCGATGTATGAATATCTGGGCCGAAGTCCATCAGCCACGGCGTGATAACCACGTAATATTCATTAACTGCCGACAGGCAGTTAGTAGTATATTTTAGCGTTAGATTACACCATACTTGACAGCATAGGTACTAGCTAAAAGCCCAGACACCTTTGTCGCCGACATTCTGCCCCAGCATGGCACATCTACGAGGTGCTCGGTGCATCAGTGGCCCTCCCCAACGCGCCTCGTGTGTCTTCTTATGGGTCTTTAATTTCCTCGGAAATTAAACATTAACATGGCTGGTGGACTTCGGCCCAAATATTTGTATCAGATTTCGGTCTGAGCCAATAAACCTCAAATAGACTGATCTACTCCAAGTTAACGACTTTTTTCTGAGGAAATTAACAAGCAGCAAGGTCATAAGTGAATTAGGTGCCAGAAAGCAAATGAGGGAGGCTGGAGGCCCACTCACGAGCCGAACCACTCGCAGATGTGCCATTAAGCGTCAGAATAACGGCGAAACAGGTGTCTGGGTTTTTAGCTAGTACCTGGGCTATGAAGTATGGTATATCGTACAACCTGTGCATACTTTAACATACTCTGAGGGCCAAGCAAGCACACAGGACTAAAAAAAACAATCAAAGGTATTGTTTTCGATGTTCCAACCGGTGTGGCGCGGAATAAGTATCCCTCAAGTGTTACAGGTGGTCGTAGGCTGCATTCCGGAGAGTTTACTGGTGGGTCTGGGGCTGCTTCATTTTTTTAGCCGCCCGTGGTTGGTTAATTAATTTATAGCTATGGGAAGTCCCTCCTTGGGTGTTTTCTAGGGCGTTAATATAACCGCATGCACCGAGTTGTTTCAGTATGATCCTTTTAATTTCCTCAGGAATTAGCTACTAACTTGAAATAAGTTAGTTTAAATTATGAGCTCTAGACACAGACCGAGATTTGATGTATGAATATCCGGAGCGAAGTCCATCACCCACAGCGGGATAACCACGTAATGTTACATTTCGTGACCTAACTCATGAAATGTGTCGAAATTCACTAATGATTGACAATCACTCGCAAACCGACACCATTTCATGAGTCCAATGTCCTTATTTATCAAGAACACGTTTAAAAGAGTTAAAAACATAGAAATATTAAAGGCAGTGTTGCGTTGTTTAGAAATACCGACTTATTTTGAAAAGCACACTAGCCCGAAAACGTCAGTAATGGCTCTAATTAAGTAAAGTTCGTTTGTAGATATATAGAATGTACTCTCATGCCGAAAACGTAGTAAATATGAAAGTTGACATAAAATAGCGTCTAATAACAGTGTTTTAGTGAATTTTACAGCTAAGTTTCGTTTAATAAGCAGTGTGGTTTTATAGATGACGGTTTTTCAACTGCCTACATTCTGAGTGTAGATTCCAAAACAGTTTTCCCGTGACTCATTTTTTTCTGAACTTGGTCGAAGTAAATGAGATGGGGTTCAACAAGAGAAGCTGGATTTTGCTTGATTTCACCGATGGGGACGTCGAAGGATTAAAACTTTTCATAATGTGACATGCCATGAGGCCGGTCGGTGCCTAATAAATTTAAATAGAGCTGACAGGCGTGATCGTAAACATACCATTTGGTGTTTATACAGAGAACTTTTCATCTGTTAAATTAATTTACACTTCTCGTTCATTTTGGATTGCGTTGAGTTCCAGATCGGCCTCGAAATCTTGCTGAATACTTCCTGATTTTCAGTGTTTTCACCCGATCGCCCATAAAGACAGATTTTGAATTATCTGTCTGTTGAGAACTTTAAAATAAGACTGCTCTTGAAGGCATTTACCGAATTAGTGAGTGTTCAGACGCTCCTTTTCACGAAGACGGTCGTTTGGGTCACATTTGAAGACTCATTCAAACATCAAACTTCATTTTCAAGAAAAATAACAGTTCACAACGAACGTCACCAACGAATATGCCTTTGATTAATAAAAAAAACTTTCCCTTATAAGTTATCTCTTTAAGAAGTGCTTTTTTACTGCACGCTGTCGACGGATCTCTGTGTACTTTGCATTTTTGCACGGTGAGGCCAATTAACAATTTGAACATTTTGGCCGTTTCTTCCGCGTTTCCCAGAAATAATAACATTTTTCTACTGTGAACGTAAGAGCATGCCTTTCTCTATACATTGAGGTCAATTCCCCTGTTTTTGCTCGCTTTTAGCCACAGTGGGACAACCACGTAATATTAATTAACCGCCGACAGACAGCTAGTAGTATATTTTAACGTTAGAGGACACCATACTTGACAGCACAGGTACTAGTTAAAATCCGATCCAGCTGAGCAGCTGCGACTGTGTGGATTCACGTCTACCCAAGAGGAAGTCGAGGGAACGGCTGCAGGTCAGCGGGTCTGGAACCGCTGACTGCGAAGGTGAATGGCCTTGAGGCAGCAGGGCCCCGAACTAGGACCCGGATCGCGAATTAAAAGCGACAATTTATAAACTGGAGTATCTACCAGGAGGACATACGGGGAATGCTGGGGGACCCACTGGGGAGTCGAACCCCTTGCAGCTGTTCCGTGCAGCGGCAGAATATCGACGAAGCAGGCGTGGTTGGACTGTTAGATAGTACCTGTACTCTGAAGTTTGGTATCCCTTAACGTTAAAAAGACTTCAGTCTTTTCCTGCAGTACCCTGAGTACAGTACAGTGCGATGCGCAAGAGGGTCATGAAAATCAAAGACCGGTTAAAGCCTTATGAGCAATCTGGAGTAGTGTGTCGCGTTCCGTGTCAAAATTGTCCTTGTAACTATATAGGACAGACTGAGCGCATGCTCGGATCGCGCATACACGAACATAAGCTGGCTTTGCGACGCATTATCACAATGGGCCCCTCACACCTACGAAATGGGTAACGAGTTTAACTTCGTAGCCATCAAAATAGTCGCCCACACCGGAACCAAAACAGGCCGAGAATTGATTGAAGCCTGGACCTCGGATGAGAACTCAGTCAATCGATTTATCGATCTGGCGTCGGCATACAGAGTTCTGCGTAGTCACCAGTCTTGCGCCGTCGGTCGATGATTGGCCTACGAGCCTTATAACTGTGGTTTGTTCTGCTGCTGCTGCTGCTGCTGCTGCTGCTGCTGCTGCTGCTGCTGCTGCTGCTGCTGCTGCTGCTGCTGCTGCTGCTGCTGCTGCTGCTGCTGCTGCTGCTGCTGCTGCTGCTGCTGCTGCTGCTGCTGCTGCTGCTGCTGCTGCTGCTGCTGCTACCTCTGAAGATGGACTCCTGTACGAGTCTGAAAGCTCAGGACAATAAACACAGCGTTCCGGTGCTCGACTCTTCTTCACAGTACACTCTCACTGCTCAGGCGCTACAAGGTCATGCTTCCGTGAGCAAAGGCTAGCCGTTGTGGATAGAAAGCACGCACGCGTTTTACAGGTGGGAACTTAGCATGGCGGATTTTGGCCGCTGAAGTCTGCTAGCGAAACTGGGATAGGCCGAGTGATCTTTTTGTGCATACGAAATTAGGCAATTTGATTAGTATGTTAATTAGATATTTGCAGAGTCTGACCTACCAGGATCACCGGCGAAACTGAACGGCGGTCCTATCCGTTCAACAGCAGCCTTTTTCCGTTTGCTCCTCGCCTGCGTCTTCTACTTTTTTCTGTCTTTTCTTTCAGTACCGTCTTGACTGCCTGCTTTATTTTCTCTATTTTCTTCCCTCATTTTCCCTCCCGTTTGCCTCTCTCTCTCGGATGGCTATTTTTTTCCCTCCCTACACAGTGAACAACTAATTATTCTTGTGTTTAATGTGCAAGAGGTATGTGACGAATAGACAGACATTTTAATTTCATTTTGAAACCAGCCCATTTTGCCTCCAAACTAGTCCCCCCTGTCTGCGTGCTTCATCCAGAAGAAGGAGCTTACTCAAAAATGTTCTGATTGTATGTACAGATACGGCCGATGAACATAGAAGCAACCTAAACGAACCACGGCAGGTTTAAAAGACCAGGGGAGAAAATCGAGTCATTCTCGCGGCCTTAAAATTACTGTTATCGCGCACCCATCATCGATCGACACTTTTAAAACTTTGGGGCAGAGAGTGGAGTCTCATTAGCTCCCATGACAGCATCGAACTCAAGAGTCGGCAGCATACGAGTGTACAGAGTTCTCTGTGTTGTCTACAATTACGATTTAACGTCAAGACGGCATGGTCGGATTTCTTCGGAGCGGAGAGATGCCAACGGCGCCAATCCACAAATGCCCAAAGGGACCCCTGGACCGACAGTTGTTGGTATCAAAGGTTACCGTCTTTTGTCGCCCCTGTCTCTCTATCATCTATTGACGGTTGCCATGTGAAGATCGTCGAGGAATGAAGGCCAAATCTGCAGCGCAAACTAGAATGCACATACAGTGGATGTGATAACTCACGAAATGCTTGTCAAAATTCTGAAATGCATTTTCGACTCGAAAAGATTACCTAAGTAGAGTTGTAATATTAATTACCGTACAGCATAATCCCAAGATATGTCAGCTACTAAAGGATGTTTTCTCTTGACGGAACTTCTTTCCAGCCACCTGCAGAAACAGCACTCTGTAACGGACGATTATTTAATTTTTATGAATTTTTCATTTATTTCCGGCGCTCTTATAAATTTATATACATTTCATCAGAATCATACATGAAAATATCCATTCTTTTGTTCATTTTAAATAAAACATTATCTTCGAATTTTATGCTTGAAAGAAAGATATTTTTTGATTTTAAAAAGTTTCTAATTAGGAGATTTTTAAGACCGTTAAACGCCCGTTCATAAAACAGTGTGTCTCTACACTTACTAATTTTGCTTGTGAAATTTACACTGTGGATCAAATCCGGTGCAGGATTTCATGAACACATACGGTCTTCTCTTAATAGCGTATAGGAATATATGCTTTTCTGTATACGGAAAATATATAGCCTGTAGTTTGGGAACCCTGATTGCAAGTATAACGTCAGGTCGGGTACATAATTAATCGGAAATCGAAAAGTTTTTTTAAAACCGAATTGTACCTTTCCTTCAAATATAAAATTTAAAGGTGGTACTTTCTTCCAAATGAGTACAAGAATGAATATTTTTGCTCATGCATCCGATGAAATGTATCTGAATTTTTAAGGGCATCGAAAATAAAGGAGAAAAATTCATACTTTGTAGGTAATCATTTTTACGGAGTATAGTTTTTTGCAGGTGGCCGTAAGAAAGTTTGTTCAAAAACTGGCATCCTAAAGTAGCTGAAATATCTTGGGATCATGCTGCACGGCGATTAATATTGCAACCCTATCTAAGTAATCATTTCGAATCGAAAATTTATTTTGGAATTTCGGCCGACGTTTCATGATCTAGCACATCTACTGTATGTCGTCGCGTTGTCAGAACGGATCGACGAAGGCCGCTCCCGTGTGGTAGCAGCTTGGGGGGTATTAGTGACTGCGGTTAGCAGAGAATGAGCGTGTGGTTCAGGGATTTGTCTCAGAGGCGATCTGCAACTGGGATCACACGGCGGCTGCACTCGCACCTCAGGTTGCGGCAGGACTGGCTGATGAGGTCAGATGCGGCAGAAAGGCCCAATTCGGCCCTCCCCGATCCTCCTCTGAAGTCATATTATGTCGCTGAACTGTGAAACCTTCTAGGTTGTGGAGACAGAGAGAGAGGGCGGTCATTTTTACGTAGAGCCGTCCTGCCCACCCTTGCGACATTGTGCGGTCGGCCTCTGTTAAACTGACATACGCGTAGAAATAAACGGGCAACTCTAGGAGTCAGTATAATGTAATAAGGGAGGAAAATTGGCCAGGATTCAGGGCCTGTTGTGGTCGCTAATCGCTGACGCCGTTTTACACGCGGTGCCCCTCCCCGTCGGCCGGTATTCAAAATCTGGACGTTCGGCTAACGTCAGGGAAATTACCTGCAGCATCTGGTCGATCTCGTGAAATGGTAACCGAAATTCCGAAATGTATTTTTAGTTGGAAAGGTTAAGTTAGGGGGTTTCTACTATTGATTATTATGCAACTTGAATCGCAGGGTATTTCAGTCACACAAGGATATCAGTGCTAGAGCGAGTTTCAATCGGGCCACCTGAAAAGGAATTACTTGCAATAAAACCTGGTTGCTTAAGTAACAAACTCTCTCCAATTGGTTTTATATGCCCTTATAAATTTCTAAACGTTTTATGAAAAACATGTACAATGACGTTCTCTCTTATACTCATTTCGTAGGAAATTGCGCCTTCTTCAAACTTTATGCTTGAAAAGAGTATTTTTCGACTTAAAAAATTATAATAAGGAAATATCCAAAGCCCTAGTGTGTCAATTCATACGGCACTGAACCTGTCCGTTTACCAATGTTGCTTATGAACTACAGCACACTGTTTGTAATCATTGCAAAATTTTGTAATTTATATGTGACGGCGTACTAATAGCGTAGAGAAATATGTTATCTAACTTTCACAGAAAGCATAAGGGATTTAGTTTGGAAACCTAAAAAACAAGTGTAACTTCAGATCAGGTTCAAAATGATACGAGGATTTAAAAATTTTTTAAATTCATTAATATCCTTACTTTATGTATAAAATTGGATACGGACCAAATTTTCCGCCAAACAAATACAAGGAACAGTATTTTGCGCATGTTTTCTATTAAATATATTTGAATTTATAAGGACGTCAAAAATCAATGGGAAAACATTATCCTACTTAAGTAGTCAATTTTTACTGAGTGTGGCTTGAGCAGGCAGCCGGAAAGAAGATCATTCGAACGGCGAAATCCTTGCCTGATTGAAATATTTTCGGATTTTTTTGTCCCATAGTCAGCATTACAAACCCGCCCAAGTAATCATTTCTCGCCAAAAAGATTTCAGGACGTTGGTTAACGTTTCATATTATAGGCCAGATACTGTAGTTTACCTGGGACGCTTGTCTACATTATTGTAAAGTCACGGCCCGGTATTTTCTGCTTTTATGCGATTGCATAACGATACCTTAGGGTTTTATTGCCATCGACTCTAGTGCATTGTCCATCAATTGAAATACTAGCATCCCGATATGTGCAGCACTTCTTGCGAGCTCCTCGATTCGAGTCATTTGAGGAAGTTGAAGAAGCATGCAAAGAATTCTTAGAATCAAAGTGTAAAGAATCGTACTTTAACCAAATCCGAATCCTTGAAGGCCGGGGACAGAAATACGTTGAGACTGATGGACCTTATTTTGAATAATAGTTGCTATTGTTTTTTGTTGTAAAAGCAAGGAATGGATTTGTTTAATCAATTTCTACGTAAAAATCTAGTTTTTTTTCAAGTTCCGCAGAACTTTCGCCTAAACCTATTAAACGAATCCTTACGACCCCTACGGATTGCAGCCAGTATCACACCTTGTTCGCCTTTCTTTACCACTGACGGGAAGGAATGCTATTATCGTGCTGCGGAGGGGAGTAAATTTTCAGTATCCTCTTATCGTAACTTGAATCGCCTCGTTGCTTCCATCTGTCAAAGGCTGTTTTATCATTTTTCAACTGTGAAACTTCGTATCGCTCTTTGCGCAATGTTTGCGTGACTAGGAGAAGTTTGATGGCTCATTTGAGAGTCTACCCTAATTGAAACACTTAGGTAACCAACATATTTGCTTGAGGAAAAATATGTACTCTTAACGTTTTATAAGTACTTGAAAAGTCCCCAGATCGACAATGTCTGACGTTATACTAGTCAGAGAATATACGATAAGAAAGTGACTTCTAGTTTCGACTAGCAGATTGCGCTCCGGTGTCCGGATAAAAAATAGGCAGCCTGGTCTAACTCCCACAACTTCCCTATCTACTGCTGGAGTGGTTGACGGGAAATAAATGGCCATCCCAGTCACTTTACATTGGTTGGTAAACTTCCCTAGATTATAGACCTTGAACGTCTGATGAATCAAATGACAACTTCTTTTGCTCATAATTAGAGGCTGTTCATGCTGAACGCTGTCATTAGGAAGGTGGACTCCGTCATTCTGCGCACCGGTAGAGAAGATTCCCGGTATGTCTTAAACAGAGTGGGCAGTTAAGAAGGACTTAACGCTCCCCACTGACCGAGAGTCGCAGATAATCGGCGCTATTACCCTACCGATCTCAAAACTCTGAATGGCATGCAAAATTCTAACTCAACCAAATTCCTATCGCGCTTTTGGTGAGGAATGAGAAACAGAAGATGATGGGGCGATCACTGGGAGAAGAAATCTACTGGACTGACATTTTAGCTCCTCACTTAAACCCCTCATGGGAGACAGTCGCAGATAAGAAAAACCAG